CAAGGAAGCCTCCCAAAATAAGTATAAACTTTTTCATCAGTACTATTTTTGGGTTTTCTTTAAAATTGGTTGGGTTTCAAAAAATACAAGCATTATTGGGACTTTTTTTGGGGGGAGGGTGGGTACTGGGGATAGAACCTAGGGCCTTATGTAGAATTTGCTTTAATTTTTTTTTTTCTTTAAAATCACCTGGGGCTGGGGTTATAGCTTAGTGGTAGAGCACTGGATTCRATTCTCAGCGCCACATATTAAAAAAATTCTATCAACAGCTAAAAAAAAAAAAACCTAAAAATTTAAATGGAACATAGTATGAATTTTTTTTACTGGAAAGAAATATTTAACTTTAGAAAATAGAGTCCTCCCCCTCATCTCCCTCCACCCATATAACTTGGGAAGAGGTGGAGGACTATATTTTAAAAAGAAATGTCTTTTATGTAGTGATGCTTCCATCTTATTGTTTCCAGATAATTACCACTAAATTTTTATAATCAGTTTTTTGGTTTTTGTTTTTTGTGGTTTACAAACCTGATGTAATTAAACCAAGGACTAGTTCTGGCACATAGGTTAGAAGTCCCTCTATTTTTATCCAGGAAAGGATCAGGGAGTACTTAAGAACATGGCTTTAACAGAGCTAAACTGCTTAAATTTGAATTCCCGCTCTGCCATTCATTRCCTTTAGTTTTGTGCAAATAATCTAACTTAATTTCAGATTACGGTGTACAGTTTTTTCATCTATATAGCAGGAATAATGGTATCACTTACCACACAGGGTAGTTGTAAAGATTAAGTGAATTAGTAACTTGTATTTAGAATAGTATACTAGCTGACATATAATTGTGAAGTAAAATGATCAGAGTGATGGAATGATTTTCACATCTCTATTGAAGATTATTGTGAAGTTAAATATCAAAGACTTGAGGGGACCCCTTTACAGATCCCTTTCCTTTTTTTTCCCCTGCTATTTCTGCAGCACAAATTCCCATCACCTCACTTCTCCTAACCCTGTCTTTTCAGCATCATAAAATCACCAAGGCTCTGTTTGAGTTTCCACTCCTATTCTGAGGCCTGGAAGTTCTCTAGGCAGTTTGTTTGAGAATTCGTGGGGCTTGTCGCTTGTTTTTCTCTTCTCAGGAAGTACTGTCCTGGACTGCCTTTTGGCTTTCTAGTTGTTTAGGTGGAAGGGGAAATCTGGCCTGTTATCCCATCATAGTTGAAGTGTATTTCTCATTATCTTAATGTCCTTTTCCACCTCCTTATCCAGTATTAATTCTGTTTTTCAATCATTATAATCACTCCCTTCAATATGCTTTTGGCAAATGTGGAAGTTCTTGGTAAAAAAGCTAGTGTGTGAGATGATCCTAGATTTATTAACAATTCGAACGCCTTCCCACTTGCTATTCTGAGTAGCAGTGAAAGAAAGCAGAAGAGATTTTGTAGCAAGTTAATAGAGAGGAAGCAGCCTTCAGTTAGTCAGTGGAAACATTACTAACTCAGGGTTCATGATTTGAAGATTCCTTTGCTTTTTTTTTGGGCGGGGGGACTGGGGATTGAACCCAGGGCACTTAACCACTGAGCCACATCACTGGCCCTTTTTTGTGTTTTATTTAGAGACAGGGTCTCGCTGAGTTGCTTAGGACCTCACTAAGTGCTGAAGCTGGTTTTGAACTTGCAATCCTCCTGCTTCAGCTTCCTGAATTACTAGGATTATGGACATGTGCCACCATACCTGACTTTCATTGCTTATTGATGAGGCATTTCCTTTTGTAGATAGGAGGTTTGGTATCCTATTGCTTAGTTATGATTTAATGACTTACTCTTAATTTAATAGAGAATAGGTCAAAAATTGCTTGCATCATTTTTGGAATCTGTTTTAATAGAAAGCATTTAGTTATTAAATTCTTCCTTTACTTGAATTTTAGGAGAAAGTGGTTTTGTAGTTGATCTTGTATATTTCATGAGACGGAACAAAAAATATTTTCTTGCCAAATCTATTGGATTTCAGATCATAACCAGTATTTAATTTATTTCAAGTACCTGCTATTCTAGTCCTCTGCACCATTTTGATTTTGAATTGCAGGATTTATACTATGTTTAATTTTTTTCTTTACTAGAGCTTTATAGTTCTACATAATAGTTAGGTTCATCACGACAAACTCATACATGCATGGAAATTGATACTACTATGTTTAATTTTATAAATTGCCAAAAGTGCTTATGGAAATAGACTTAGTTGAAATTAGAAAGTATTCTCTTATTAGGAGGATATTATGATTTTCCCTGCCAAAGTCAAGGAAAAACAATTTTTTGGACAGTACTGGGGACTAAATTCTTAAAACTTATGCTCTTTTCGTGATTCTTTCATATATGTTTATTTGCACACTCTTTTTCAAGAGGGAAAAGTAAAGAAGTGAAGTTAACAGGAAAATAACAATAGTAGAAAAAGTAACATGAAGCTAAACATAAGATTAGTAACATATTATCACAGGCTAACAAATCTGACTGAATTTCTCATTATGAGAGGAGCAAAGTTACCTATGTAATTAACTTAAGTTCTTAAGATAAAAGCAAACTAGTTRCTGAAGGAAGAACGACAACTAATTCTGGTACTAAGTTTTGAGTGAATATCTTCTATCAGCCCTTATACAGAATACTGTGTGTTGGATATGTTAGAAGCATTCACTTGGGGCAAGACAGGAGGAGGAGCTGTGTGAATATAAGAAGCATCACTTGTTTTCACTCTTGTAAGATTTTAGTAGTTTTTAACCTTTTGGGATCATAGACTTTCAAACATATTTATGTAGTTTGATCTTACTCAAGAGATTCTGATCCAGTAGGTGTGTRGTAGGCTTTAGGAGTCTATATGTAGACTCACCACCCCAGGTGATTTTGATGTGGGTTATTGTCAGACCATGTTTTGAGAAACTGTTTCAGGATTATAATTTCAGGGAACTTGCAGTCAGGACATCAAGCTCAGATTAAGAATTTGATTTACTCTTAATTTAATAGAGAATAGGTCAAAAATTGCTTACATCATTTTTGGAATCTGTTTTAATAGAAAGCATTCAGTTATTAAATTCTTCCTTTACTTGAATATTAGGAGAAAGTGGTTTTGTAGTTGATCTTATATATTTCATGAGACGGAACAAAAAATGTTTTCTTGGGGGGTATAGCTCAGTGACAGAACACTTACCTAGCATGTAAATRGCCCTGTTGGGTTCAATCACCAGCACCTGTAAGTGGGGAAAAAAAGAACCTGTGATTAGTGAGCAATGTCCTCAACAACATTTGTATAAAAAAAAAATTATGAATTCCATAAGGTGTTTTGTGCTGGTATATTAGAAAATTAATGACTTTTGTTAATATATTAGCCAAAACAAGTCACATGGGCGGATACATTTAACTTGAAAAGGAACAGAACTAGTGATTAATACACATGAAGTCTTTCTCCCTTTCTTTTTGGTAATGTAATGAATTAATGGGCTCTTTTCCTCCTAATGTTGAACCATTTACACAGTCCTGGGATAAACTATATATGATTATGAGGAATCATTGTTCTGGTATACCACTTGTTTGGTTTGGTTGTATTTGGGCTTTGTTTTTATTATTTATTTATTTATTTATTTATTTTGTTTTTTGATACTGGGAATTTAACCCAGGGACATTTTACCACTGAACCACATCCCTAGCCCTTTTTGAGACAGGGTTTCTCTGAATTGCTTAGGGTCTTGCCAAGTTGTTGAAGCTGACCTTAAACTTTTGATCTCAGCCCCCTGAGCCACTGGAATGACAAGTGTGTGCCATCACACCTGGCTGCTAGTATTTGTTTAGATCTTTGCATCTGTGTTCTGTAGTAAAATTAGCTTAGAGTTTTATTTCTTTTGTTCATTTGGTGTCAAGGTTTTGTTGGCATTATAAAATGGATGAGTACCTTTCCATGTTTTCATCCCCCAATTTTGAGAGCTTATGTAGATTTCCAACATACAGGTAACCCTCTCCACAATTCCACATCTGTGGATTCAACCAACCATGGGTTGAAAATATTCAGGAAAATATTGTACAGACCTTTAAACATGTGTACACTTTTTTCTTGTTATTTCCCAATAATACATTAACAACTATTTACATAGCATTGACATTAGGTAATATAAGTAATCAAGAGATGATTTAAAGTATATGTAGGTAATATGCAAGCACTATATCATTGTATGTAAGGGACTTGAGCCTCTGAAGCTTTGGTATCCATGTGAAGTCCTGGAAGCAGTCCCTGTGGATACCAGGGAACAACTGTTCTTTTTATGAAGCTCGGGGTAGCCCTTACTGCTGACACTGAGTAGAAAAGCTCCTAGAATTTACTGAAAGCTGTTGTAATCTTAGTTACTATTCATTATAGGGAAAGGATTCAGATTAAGATCTGCCAAAGGAAGAGGAGAACAGGGCAGTCTAGGAGGGATTCAAACACAGAACTTCTTATGTCCTCTTCCTGTGTRGTCAGCACACATTTTTCTTCTGGCATCAGAATGTGACAGTATGCTAATCAACCTATCAACCTCTCCTCCTCATCCCCTCTGTGCAGTGCTGAAAATTGAATCCAGAGTCTCATGTATGGTAGACAAATGGTCTACCATTAATCTGTACCCCTACCCCAGTTTTTCTCTTAAAATTTCAGCCTCCATCTTTTTCTCTCTCTCTTATCTGTCCGCCCCCTCCATCAGCCCCCCTCTTCCACCCACCCCTAAATGTCTGTGATGCTGGGGATTGAATCCAGGGCTTCATGCATGCCAGGCTGAAGTTCTACCATTAAGCTATATCCCCATCTCCAGTTTTTCTCTTTTATAGTTTTCTTCCTATGACTTCTTGATATAAGCCTAGAGGGATTCCATTATGGAAAGTTGGAAAGTTGAGCTTTGCATTTCTCTAGGTGGCCCTTAAAAGACAAAAGCTACAAGACACTTTTGATATAATTGCATTTAAATTAAAGTACTTTTTTTTTTTTTTTAAAGAATAAAGGTTCTCTTCAGTTTGAAGACAAGTGGGATTTCATGCGTCCGATTGTTTTGAAGCTTTTACGCCAAGAATCTGTTACAAAACAACAGTGGTTTGATCTGTTTTCGTAAGTAATTTATTAATTCTGTTGCTACCATAAAGCTAATTTTTATGTCTTTCTGTACCCAAATGGAATGTGTTATTCAGGATGGTCTGTTTACCTGTTTAAAGTTATTACTAGTTTTGTTGGGGGTCCCCAAGACTTTCCTTAGGTTCATTAAGGACTCACAGGATGGAACATAAAGTCATACTCATGGCTATGACTTATTATAGTAAAAGGATACAAATGAAAATCGGCAAAGGGAAAGGGCACATGCAGTGAAGTTGGGGGAGGGGAGGAARGCAACAAGCACAAGTTTCTAAGAGACCTCTCCCAGGGGAGTTACACAGGGCACAATAAATTTCCCCAGCAACAAGATTAACAACTTGTGATATGTTGTCTACCAGAGAAACTTGATAGAGACTCAGTGTCCAGGGTTTTTATAGGAACTGATTACATAGTATGTGCCTGGCACGTACCAAAATTCTAGACTACCTGAAAGACAGCAGGTGTTCAGTGTAAACCAAATTGTTTATATAAACAGTTTAGGTACAATGGGCCACTRTTCTCAGGAAAGTGTAGGAAATTGTTGACTACTTACGTTCTCCAATGCCAACCAAAGGATAACCTTACAAGCAGGCATTTCTAAGGAATTCAGTGTGGGCTTTGCTGTGTTAACTCKTGTCCTTTGAGTAAAATGTCTTTATAGCAAAATTATTGTTAGTAGGCCTCCAGGTAGCACGATAAGACCAACATGTAGTATTGATCTCAATTATACCTTTTGCCAGCAGAGCTGGGGATGTGGCTCAGTGGTAGAATTCTTGCCTTGCGTGTGTGAGGTCCTGGTTTTGACCCCTAGTACTGCCCCCCCCCAACACACGTATATATTTTTCCCCTACCTTTTAGAGGGCCCACAGTTTTGTATCTGTAGATTCAACCAATTATGGATCGAAAATGTATTTTTTTAAATTATACCAACTTTAATCATGCACAGACTTTTTTCTTGTCATTTCCTAAACAATACAGTATAACAACTATTTACATAGTTATTATGAGTAATCTAGAGATTATTTAAAGTTTTTTTTCTGCAGTATTRGGGGAMAAACCCAAGGCCTCATGCATGCTACGCAAGTGCTCTACTGATCTACATCCCCAGATCCCTTATTTAAAGTGTATCTAGCCAGCACTGTGGCTTATGCCTRTAATCCCAGCAGCTCCAGAGGCTGAGACTGGAGGATCCTGAGTTCAGAGCCAACTTCAGCAACATAGAGGCACTAAGCAACTCAGTGAGACCCTGTTTCTAAATAAAATACAAATAGGCTGGTGATGTGGCTCAGTGGTTGAGTGCCCCTGAGTTCAATCCCTGGTACCAAAAATAAATAAAGTATATCTAGGTAATACACAAATACTGTGTCATCCAGTGTATGGCACTGGATTTAGCAAGCCAAAACAAATTCCATTAGCCATAAAGTTTATCTTAGAAAACCAAGTGATTTTCCTCCTTCAGTTTCTGTATGAACCATTTTTGTTTTGTTTGTGTGTGTGTGTGTGTGTGTTTTAAACAGTCTTGCTAAGTTACTTAGGCTGGCCTTGAACTTGTGATCCTCCTGCTTTAGCCTCCTGAGTAGCTGGGATTATAGACTTGTGCCACCACATCCAGTGAATCTTAAAAAAAAAAAAAAAAAAAAGATGGTCTGAGGCATCAATTTTAGGCAAAGAGCCAGTAAGTTGAAGCAAACCTGAAAGCTTTCCAGGATTGTATCAAGGTGATGATGGCCAGAGCGCACACACAAATGTAATCTTAGAGGACAAATGTGATATTCTTGGAAACAAGTTTTCAATTGTTAGTGTTCCCTAAGTAAGACATACCTTAATCGGGTAGTACAGATTAACAAGGCCCCCACTTTTGCCTCCTGTTGTGGGACCTTTCACCTTAGGGTTCCAAGGCCAGTAGTACAATATGTTTAATTCAGTTCAGGCGTTGGTTTCTGATGGCTTGCCTGATGTCAGTTTTTGCTTATCTGTCACAGTAGTTCATTTGCCTCACTAGTGTGAACAACATCTGGAGGTGTTTTACATGGAAGGTACAGAAACTGGGGCTTGAGGGGCTGAGGTTGTGGTTCAGTGGTAGAGCACTTGCCTCACACATGTGAGGCACTGGGTTCAATCCTCAGCACTGCATAAAAATAAATGAATAAAATAAAGGTGTTGTGTCCATCTACAACTAAAAAATATTTAAAAAGAAAGTAAGTAAAGGAAGAAACTGGGGCTTTAAAAACTTTTCAAATTGGGCTTATGTTACCTCCTACACTATTTTCCTTGTTCATTCATCTATTAAACAGCCTAGAAAAGATATTTCTTTCTGTGGGCAGCTGTATTTAATAGCTAAAACAGCCTTAATAATGTATGTTTACCAGGAGGGGTGAGGAGAAGGGAAGAGAAATAGAGTTAAGTTTTAATCTGTTGCAAACTGTAGCTAATCTGGAAAGCTAAACACAAGTCAGTAGCAGTGTGATCTCAAGACTGGGTCAGGAGTCCAATCTGTAATGAGTGGGTAAAGGATTAACATTTTGTGGTTTGCCTTATCTCAGTTTGTAATATTTAGCAGGAACCACAAGTGAGGAGTGTAGTTGTTAGTCGCTATGTTAGTATTTAGAGCCAATTAGCCACTTGATTTTTGGATGATCTYGTCAAAGAATAAGTCCTTTTCTCTGGACATCTGTAAGCGATWGAGACAGTCCAGTTAGAATCCATGATGTTTTCATAGGTTATGGATCCACAAAAAAGTGTTATGTATTTATTTATAGTACTTGGGATTAAACCCAGGGTACTCTACCCACTCAGCTACATCCCCAATCCTTYCAATTTTTTGAGACAGAGTCTCACTAAGTTGTTGAGGCTGGCCTTGAACTGGCCTTGATCTCCTTCCTCAGTCTCCCAAATTGCTGGGATTACAGGTATGCCACCACCATGTCCAGCAGAAGAGCACCTTTTAAATATTAAACATCTTCAAGGCATAGTCATGTTTATGGAGCATATTCCTGCTTCCAGTTTAGCACAGCTTGTGTTGAGATTGAAATAGCCCAAGCTCAGAATCAGGTTTCAGCCTGGAGTTGGATCCAGGCAATTAAGATATGTGAGTTCAGGACTTCAGAAAAGCCTTTGGCTTTTCTTTGACAATGGCAAAGCTAAGATGTTGCAGCCTTCACAAACATGTTCTAAGTCCAGATGACAAGCAAGCATATCCTAAGCCTATTATATCTTGTCTAGTCTTGGAGTCCTAATTGATCCACTCAAATATATGCACTAAGCTTGAAAAATCATCAGCCTCTAATCAGACATCTGATTTCCCAAGAGCTTAGTAGWAATGCAAAACTGCTTTTTAAAACTACCAAACTGAAAAAGCAAAACAAAAACCCTCCCAAAYTGTAATTCCATCTTGCAATTTCCTTTGTTTCTTTGTTTGTATCCCTTTTTCTAGAGACCCCCATAGATTAAAAAAATCATTGTCGATATCATCTACAATAAATTTTATGTAGAAATTTATTCTCTTTCCAGTGCTCAGAGTTTTAAAATACCAGTTTCTTCACTAGCAGGGAAAAAAAAAGAGAAGTTATAGACTACTTTTTTTGGTAACTTTTCCTGATTAAGGTGATCCATCTAGTATGTATGTATATATGTATTTTTGTGATGTTGGGGATTGGATTCAAGGTCTTAGGTATGCTAGGCAAGCTCTACCACTTCTGTGAAATGACAAACATAGTACATCATATATCTAGGTAWAATAGCAACAAAATACAAAGCCATCTTTCACCATCTCCCCTCTTTTTTCCTCATTACACATTTAATTAAACCCCTAGTTGTAAATCAGCATTCATAGGATTAATATTATAGTTGCTGGGAGATCCTGACTGAAATGCATGGAATTAAAAAGAGACTAGGCTATGTAAAGCTTTGCACCAGCCCCAGGCTCTGATTTAACTATTATTTGCTCATACTTAGAGGGGGGAAWAAAAGCATAAATGTTTAACATTTTTGGTTCATCCAGAATTCACTTTTGGGAGCTTTAGGGACCCCCTCCCCCTTAAGAACAAAACCCAAAGACAGTTGAGAGGGTCCATTCCCCTGGGGTTAGATCTGTCCTTTTGAAATTTCATAGATAACTTTTACCTCTCACAACAGCTAGAAGCTCAGCTGCTATTTCAAATCATGGTTGATTTCATAGCCACTCAGCAAGAGTGTCAACCTGCTGCTTCATCCTGCCTTGTGACTCCTGACACTAACCATGTCAGCAGTCCGGAGATCATCCTAGGTTCAACAGTTGCTGACAAGACTCRTAGGATTCACCATGTAGTTATATTCATGGCAATGGTTTATTCCAGTGAAGGATACAAAGCAAAATCAACAAAGGAAAAAGGTACATGTGGCAAAGTCTGGGGGAAACCAGGTATAAGCTTCCAAAATGTCATGTCCCAGAGAAGATACACAGGATGACTTAACTCTTTCAGCAACTAATTTTGACAACACATAAGAAATGTTGGGTACCAGCGAAGTTCATTAGAGACTTAGTACTCATTGTTTTTATTGAGGGCTAGTCTCATAACTGCCTTTGCTTGGAACATACCAAAATTCTAGACTCCCACAAGGAAAGCAAGTGTCCAATGTAAATCACACTTTTTGTTTAAACAGTTTAGGCAGYATGGGGCATTCTTGTCAAGAAATGGTAGAAACCCTCCCTAAATTGAAATTTCTAGGTGCTAGCCACAGGCCAGCCTTGCAGACAGGTCTTTATAAGGGCATTAATCTCAGGCCTGCTATCATAATTTTTTCCTGCATACTAGTAAAGTACTATATCAATGAATTATAGATTTGTGACTGCATAACCTATGCAGATTAAAGTGTTATATTCTTTATCACATGGCAAAATACTAATTTCTTAAATAACAAGAACTTATTACACAATAATTAATTTGTATCCATAAATCTGCCCTTTGATAAATTATAGTTCAATAAAACAGCTGAGGCCT